TCACAACACATTTTCTCTGAAAATAGTGAAATATTAATTTCGTGGTTATTCCAATGACTTAATCACGAAAAAGTTTGTACGAAAAACAATGAAATCTTAATTTCGTGGTTATTCCAATGACTTAATCACGAAAAAGTTTGTATGAAAAATAATGAAATCTTAATTTCGTGGTTATTCCAATGACTTAATCACGAAAAAGTTTGTCTGAAGAATAGTGAAATCTCAATTTCGTGGTTATTCCAATAACGTAATCACGAAAACGGTTGTTTGAAGAATAGTGAAATCTCAATTTCGTGGTTATTCCAATCACTTAATCACAAAAAAGTTTGTATTAAAAATAATGAAATCTTAACTTCGTGGTTATTCCAATGACTTAATCACGAAAAATTAAAGTTGTCACAATGTACACATTCAGGCTTGATGACTTTATATTAATTACAGACAACAGTTCACAATTGAGTACTTGCAGCTACAGCTTTGATGACTTCATTTCATTTTTGGATAGACATCAGACTGGCAACTCACTCTTGGTCACACCCAGATTGTTTGTCTTCGGCACATTCCGTTGCCATTGGTGTATTAGTAATGGTCAGAGAAATGTAGGACAGTTTAGTTCGATAGAGGATGTTGTCGAAGCGACCTTCTCTTGTGACCTTCTCTTATACATTTCTCTTATAACTTCATTTAATGTTATAAGAAGGGACAGTTCCAATCTAGTTTAAGTCCCATCCAGATTTGTGATATGTAGATACAATATATAGACATATTGTTGATGACTTCATAAAAAATTTTAGGAAAATAAAAACAAGTTCGTGGCGGTGGTGAAAAGATGACAAGGCCCCTTTATAATGATCACCCATTTTCTTTTTTTTTTTTTGTCTTTGTTATCTTAAATTATATTCCAGTTTATTGGAGACTTTATGATGCTCAGAGAGGCGAAGACATGCTCAAGTGGAAACACTAGGCTACAGGCAATTGTGAGCAGATGATTTATATTTTTAATGTACACTTATATATTTTCATGTTGTCTTTGGCATAATAAACAATCTTCGAGTTCACGGTGTTTGCGGCTTGACATTAGCAACCTTTAGCACCGACGATTTCTGYGACGGCAACGTTAACCGGAAGTGAAATCTACTTCCGGTCAACGTTGTACATTTTGGCGGGCTGCCGTTGCAGCTTTGCGCGGACGTCAAAAGTGCAGGTTAGCCGTTCTGGAGAAAACGTGAGTATTATTTCGTTTGTTAACCTTAAAATTCCTGTTTATTTATTTAGTCAGCTTTTTTTCAGGCAAAGCAGTTTTTAATAAAAAAAAATTCCGAATCATGTTATGCTTAAAAGAAACTATCACATAACATGATTCGGAATTTTTTTATTAAATAGCAGCAATTTTAGCAGTTGAAAAAAAGTTGAAAATGTCCTACAGTACCGGTCTCGAGTAAAGTACCATCCATTCTCGAGTACTCGAACTCGATACGGACCGCGAGTCTCGAGTATAGAGTGAAACAATGACAGTTAATGAGGCAGCGAAAACAATGCCACTCGCTTTCACTCTTTACTCGAGACTCTAGAGTGTTTCGAGTGGAGCGCTTCGAACTTAAATTACGGAATCAAATTCACACGAAAGTTTACAAAATAGTTTGATTGCGGCTACAATTTTGCTTTGGTTATTAATATGCTTCACTTGTAAGCAAAAATGAACTGGCCTTTAATGATTACCTGTTACAGCGAAAGTGAACGAATAATAAGAAACCATATTAAACACCAGCAAACTGTGAATCTACACGAAGATATTTCCAAGCGTGTTTTGAGACTAATCTCGCATTTCCCATGCCGCTCAGGTCAACACGGCTTTTTGAACCTGTTTCATCTACTTTAAATTATTCTATCAAAAATTAAAACAACCGAATCGTACTGTTTTTACAAGATTCTTTAAGCTACTGAGGTTTATACTATCCTTCATAAAGCTGAAGTAGGTTTAATCAGAATTTTGTCAGGATGAGTGTTCGAACAAATTTGTTCTCTTTTGGCTAGTCGCCAAAACAACTAAATATTTCAATCAGCTACGATCATGATAAGAGATAAAAGCGGTTTCTCATGCTTTCATTTTAGAAAAGTTAATCACAGGTTGTTACGGAGTTTGAAGAACATAACGATATATTGCAGAAATTGATAAAATATGCTTTGATAATGGCAAAAAATACTGAATTATGGAAGAAAACAGAACAAATAAGCTTCCCAAAGTGCTTTAACACTGCCTAGACAGCGGAATGACGAGNATCTGCTGAAATGCTCAAAKAATCAAATTGGTAGATTCCATATATCAAAAGGATTTTGTGGCAAACTTGCAAGTAAATCCTAGCTGATGATAGCGATCCACGTCTACATTCGAATGAATACCAAAGCATCTGCAAATAATCTTCTTTATTTGTACTGGAARCTCAAAGATAAATCCTTCCGACGAGCTTTTTGATTACGTCGATTTCGAATGCAGTAGGTACCAGGCAGAGTTCAACGATTGACCGAGTCAAGTCCGAGCCCCAAAAAACTAGCGGTTTTTGTCTGAAGTGCTGCGAAACGGATTTACCGATGTAATTCTTCCATCAGAAGAAAACACACACTAAGTTATAGGAAGTTTTGACAACATTTTTACTACAGCACTTTTCTACTGTTTACTACAAAATAGGTTAGTGGTAAGCTTAACTAAAATATAGAGAGCATGGGTATCTATCCCCGCCAAAATTCCAAACACTCGTTTCTTCGGTTCAAACATTCAACGAGTTTGGTTTTTGGTCGCGCGTAGCGGGTCGCGGGTAGGAGGTCGCGGGTCGCGGGTGCGGGTAAAAAAGTCGCGGGTCCAGATTTTTCATTAAAAGATATATAGATATATAAAAAAATACATAAAGATACATAGAAAAAGATATCAATAAAGGCCGGGGTTAAAATGTGTTCATAGCCCTTAATACTCAGCAATAAACGAATACGGACAGCCAAAAAAGAGATTATTTGCTAGTTTCTTGCTTAAACCAAACAGAGTGTGATCCACATCTGTTCTCGTATTCTTGCTCAATAATTTAAATTTAATTTAGTGTTTATACAAYCGCCAAAACAAATTGTATGCCTCGATACATGTCATAAATAGTTTCAAAGTTCGTAACTTTGTTTAGAACAGCGAATCGCCTCTTATGAAACGTGATCATTTGAAGCGAACACAATTGTCGAGTCTCAACATACTATTCTTCGAGCGTTTGCACGTTACGTCATAGATAAAAATAGCCTGTGTACATCCGTTTCTCACCCCTCAAAAAATCGGGGAGAGAACGTCTGTGATTTGCCGTTGCTAATCGTGTTCTGAGGTCCTCAAGATTTTGAGGACGAATTTCATTGGCCGTTGACTTATGAGACTTGTGATTGGCCAAAATCAATAGATGGAGTGTAAAGTTGGTCACATGAGTGAAATATAAGCCTTCATGGTAAACCACTGGAACATGTAGAATGCTTCAAATTGAATATGTTATTTGCTCTCAAATTCTCTGTAAAAGTTTAGGCTTTAATCTTAAATTCGGTCAGGGTAAATTTAAAATTGATGTGGAATTATAATGTCATTAGAATTCGCCACCAATCTTCATGAACAAAACTTGCATTTGTCAGAAGTGCTAAAGAAGATAAGGGGGCTTAGTAGTTTGTATTCTACATCTCATAATAGCCTGCGAAAGCGCCAGAGTTACAGCTTCAAAACTGCCGAGGACAACGTAATCTTCACAAGAAGATATTAGTACGGTTGATGGAAGTCATTGTATGACGCAAATTACAGGAAAACCACATTCTGACGAGACACATGTCATACTACCGAAGATAGAGAGAGCACGGCATAGACCAATGGGCAGAGACAATAAT